GCTTCCATGGAATATTAATGAGATTGATCAATAATCACCGTATTCTGTTAGATCATCTGTTTAGAAATGGGAACAAATGTGGACCTCTTCCAGTCCATTGGCCAGACAGCTATCCTCCAAATTTCTTGCCATTGACTGCTCAATGCATGTAGGGCTGCGTGTGTTAACTGAAATAAGTCAATTGGTATCCCATTGATTCCTGGGGCGTTATTTCTTGCTAATGCTTTCAGTGAAGCTTCCACTTCCTCCTTCATTACCATTGGATACTGCTTATGTGATACTTCTTGAAATTTTTCCATGTCAGTCAATTCTTTTTGGTCCAGTGATTCTGTATATTTCTTCCATTTTCTTTTGGCACTTTCTGAGTCATTCAATATTGTGACTTGAGGCTTAAATTTGTTTTTTGGTTCTTTCAGTTTGAGAAATGCAGATTGAGTTCTTCCCTTTTTATTCTCCAGTTTCAGCTATCTGCACAATCCATTATAATATTTTGCTTTGTCTTCTTGAGCTGCCCTTTGAAATCTTCTGATCAGATCTTTTACTTTGGCATGTTTCTCCTTTATTTTATGAGAATCAGAGGAATGTATATGTATGCTTTATTGACCATGCAAAAGCATTTGACTTTGTGGATCATAACAAAACCAATACAAAATAAAAATATCCAAAATTAAATAGATTCATGCTAAATTAGGATTCTATTAAGATAAAAAGTTTGAGAATTTTTTAAGGACTTTTTTTGTGTACCATAGAGTCAGAATTGATGCATGGCTGACCCTCTGGTGGGTTTTTTGAGGCAGTTAATCGCACAGGAGGAAATTGCCCATCCTTCTCCTACAGAGTAGCTGGTGGGCTTGAGCTGGGTGCCTTAAGGCCTGCAGTGGTAGCTTCTTGCCACTAGGCCACCAGAGCTCTTGTTGAAAATGTATTAAGAGTTGGAAGTGATAATTTAGCTGAGGCATTAACTGATGTCTTAATAAGCATTACTCTATTTAGGACCACACGAGACCAATTCAACAATATCATCTAGAAAGACAAGATAGGAAAATGCGGGGATGATGAGTTTATATCAATAAGAGAACAACCTAGAAAAGGAGTGTTTGAATGTTTCCACAACTTACAGATTGTAATCAATGTTTAGTATGCTTTTCTGTACATTCTCATTAACAATAAGGAAAGATAATTTTTAAGTATATTTGAACTGATGTTCTCGTAATAAGAATCTGTGCTACAATGCCAAAGGAACGAAGTTCAAATCCACCAGCTACTCCATTGGAGAAGAATAGGCAATCTCTTCCTGTGCAGTTATTGCTTCTGAAAACCCTCTGAAGGGTCAGTTATGGGTCAGTTCTTACTCGACAGTACCCCTCAACAACATACATATACATACATACCTATACATATCTATCTCTATCTGCATAAATAAACACACACACACACACACACACATGGCCTAGTGCTAAGAAGTTATGTTGCAATCCCAAAGGCATGCAGCTTGAATCCACCAGTTTCTCCATGGAAGAAAGATGGGCAATTTCTTCTTGCTGTATGAAAATTTGCCTGAGGGTCAGCTATGAGTCAGTTCCATCTCAATGATACACAACAATAATATATTGTTATTGTTAGGTGCCATCAAGTTGAGTTCAACTCATTGTGATCCTAAGAAGAGCAGATATGAATCTTGTCCTATCCTGTACCATTTTCACCATCTGTGACATGCTTGGGCCCATTGCTGTAATCACTGTGTCAATCCATTTCACTTAGGGTCTTCCTTTCTTTTGTTGATTTTTCCAAGAAATATCCTCACCTAGAAACATGCTAAAAATATATGAGATGAAGTTTTGCCATCCTTGCCTTTAAAAAGCACTCTGGGTGCAGTTTTTCAGAAACATTTTTTGTTTTCTTAGAAGTCTGTGGGATATTCAGTACCCTTCTCCAACACCACAGCTCAAAGGCAGCAATTCTTCTGCCATCTTTATTTGTTGTCTAGGTTTCAGATATACACAGTAAGTGACTGAAAAGACCTTAGCCTAAATTGGGCACCATAATCTTCAAAGTGACATCATTGTTCCTCAGCAATTTGGAGAGGTACCTGACAGCAGACTTTTCCATTCTAATTCATCTTCTTATCTTCTAATTCTACTGTTATCATATTTATCTTCAGTCACAAGCAAACCATCTACTAAAATACAAGAAATCTGTATCATGATGCCTAGTATATAAAAAAGTTTATAATAATATACGTTTATATTATTCACGAAAGGAACTCTGGTAGTACAATAGTTAATTGTTGGCTGCTCCAGATATGGAGCTCTGTTTCTGGAATTATGTAATCTCACAAACCCTATGCAGCTATTTTACTCTCTTCAAAGGGTTACTATGAGCCAGAGTCTACTCAATGACAACAAATTGAAAAGGTGAATTATTCATTAGTCGTGATTTTAACAGCTTTGTTATCAATTTTAGAGAAGTTCCAGAATCAATTTATTTTCAATCTTTAATAAGAATAATAGGCATAATGTGGGACAAGGTCTCCTTTTAATAAGAATGCACCTATACAGGATTTTAAAAATAGCCCATTAAAACAAAATAAAAAAACCAAACAAAACAAACCTCAAAAATCCAACTAATGCGGCCAGTTGATTTTTCTTCTTAATTCTTCAGAATGGAGTTATTTATGGGCAATGCTTTTAATAGGAAACTCTGGTGACTTAATAGTAAAATGTTGTGCTGCGAACCCCAAGGCGTGTGATTCATGGGGTTTGTTCCATGGGGAAAAGATGAGAAACCTCTCACAGTGGAATTTACTTCCTCTAAAAATTTGTTTGCTGTGGAGTAAGCTATTAGTTGGTTCCAGATTGATGGTACACAACAACAAGCGAACAACAATGCTTTAGATACAGCTAACTTATCTAGAAGTCTGATAGTGAAACACTTCAGTGAAGTGTCCCTCATTTCATATTAACTGATTCTTCTCCTGGGTTGCCTTACTCTGTATTCTCCATGATAATTCTACACATTTTCTGTTAAAGCACACCTTGAATGAATATCAAATTGTGACAATTTAGAAAATGGAAGAGTTTTCTTAACTATGGAATCTTTACCATCACTCTTCTTAGTGTAATGCACAGCGGTCTACACTTGAAAATATAACAAATGTATAATAAATTGTTCAAACATCTCATTTTTATCTAAAGTTAATGAGGAAATTATAGCAGTAATACCAGGTTTTAAACATACATTATCAATAAAATGCTTCAAAAATGTCAGTAAATTAAGAGATCTTACCTAAACCATGCCTATGTGTTGACATTGGGGGTAAGACTGTCCATGTCTTGGTTTTTGGATTGTAACATTCAACAGTGTTCAAAGTCTTTAAACCATCTCGACCTCCAATTACAAAGAGTTTGTCATCAATAACAGCCACGCCAAACTGCAACCTCCTGCCATTCATAATTCCCGCCTGGATCCACAAATTTGTTCTGAGATCATATTTCTCTATAGTTGTAGCTCCTGAGAAAACACAAAAATAAATAGTCACAAACTGCTATTGCTCCAAGAAGAGCTTTTGCAAGTTAGGGTATAAAAACATTCTTATAACATTAAGAAAGTGTCAGAAAAACAAAGGCAGAAATTTATTATACTTTCTATTCTTGGAAGACACTAATGATCAAAACAGACACAAATGTTAGGCTTCTTTGAATTACATAATCTTCAAAAGTGCCAAACTTTTCATTGAATAGACACATTGGTGAACATGACATAGAACTTCTAGTACATTTTTTCACCTTCTATTTGTAATCATTCTCTATTTAAAAATATAGAATATAATTCTGGTTTGAAAATATGGGAGGAGATTTTTCTATCTTTCTCCCAAGGGGCTACTGGTGGATTTGAACTGGCCACTTTAGGTCCCTATAAACTATACCTTTTTAACATCCACATCTTTTTTTAAAATTTAACTAAGATAGATATTTAAACTGTATAAATTTATTTAAGAGAAGTTAATTAAAAAAAAACACTTTATCATATTCTCCTTTAAAATTTGTGGAATAATTTAATCAGAATCCTTTTTTTTTTCAATTCAAGATATATAATCAAATAACTGCTAATCTTTATTTAAACCTACATATAAATATATATCCATACCTTTGGAAAATTACTATGTGCCTCTGCTAAAAGAATAGGCAACTAGGACCTTGGGGAACAAAGTCATGAACATCTTTCTAAAGGGCCAGAAAGAGTCAGTAAAGCATAACCTCTCATTTCCTCAGAGCAGAAAGGATATGAAGAGCCCATAGGCAAGCCCCATGGTGCCTGTAGAACCACCCCAGCAGCAACAGGTTCTTTATGAATTGTTAATTCACAGATTGTGTTACTGATAGTAAAGTTTATTAGGAAAATAAGTTGAAGAGTGGGGGAGGCACAGAATATCACACAATGCAAATCCAGGTATTAGCCCAGAAGTCTTAAGGCACAATTCCTCAGTTAGTCCAGTCCTCAATTGGTCTTAGTTCAGCCATTAGAATTTTCTTGCATTATCAGGCAAGCAAAGCATAACCTTTAATTACGGCATTTATCTCAGAGCTCCTCTGGTTATACTTTGCCACAGTTTCTAGAAAGCAATGTCGCCATCTCTATATCATCATCACCAGAGTCTCACCACCAGGGTCTTGCTCTCTCCAGGGTCTTTCTCCAGTCTTCCTCAAGCCTTGTTGCCTGATATGTGAAGAACTCTCTTGCTTATACTAGTTCCACAGTTGTTAATGATTTGCTAGACCATGTGTCTGAGGTTAAGGTAGCTGGAGATTGGGGGCTAAAGTATCGGTTTAAAAAAATTCAACTTTAGGCTAACACCCTTGGTTCTGAGTGAATTCATATTAATATTCATATTGATATTTTAAGTCAGGGTAGAATTTCCCCAGAGTGTTCCCTAGGCTATAATCTTTAAAGAAATAAAGTGCTGCATCATTCCTCTGAATCGTGCCTGGTAGGCTATCAATCTTTCAGTAGTCTATTGTTTAATCATTGTGTCATCAGGATTCCTTCTCTGGGTAAAAGCTTAATAAAATTTACAGGCAAGAAATTATACCTAATTTCTTATCAAACATGTTATGTTTTCTACATAAATTACCTCATTCTTCCTAAAACATTTTCAGGTATAAATTTTAGAAATCCAATAACTCTAGCTAATAAAGTAGGTATTTGAAAAAAGAAATATGCTGAATTGCTGCTGAGTTTTGTTTCCAGGGATTCAATTGCATATTCCACATTGAGAATGTCTGTCTACAGGAAGTTCACAAATGCTTTCTGTGATAAAATATATGCTAACAATTAGTGATGTTGCTTCAGTGTTTGATCTTAATGTTCAAACTCAGAATTACCAGTATTTCATCTTCAATGATTAAACATTTCTGCAAAGAAAATCAACATACTCATGTTCTTTCAGTTAAGCAATGACAATCTATTTTATCTGTTCTGTAATAAAAGCTTGCAAATCTAGGAAAAACATTCCTCTAGGGACACATTCAATCCATAGAACCTAATCAGTATTGAAATAAACAAATCCAACTATCTAGGTAGCAGATGTTTTGATAATTGGTGTAAATATTTCATAATTTATATTCAGCTTTTATTCAAAATCAACAGAGGAGTAATAATGTAAAAATAAACTAGATTAAATTATTTTATCATTTTATTGAGGATATGAGCTAATAGTTACCTTCAATTAAATTTGTAATAGTATAAAAGCGTTCATATTAAGAGAAGTCACAGGCAAATTATTTAATAAATGCTTGTTTTATGTTCATATATTTTGTGATAGGTATTGTATTCCACTATACATAAATTAAAAGTCCAAAGTGAGTTATATCGTTGAATAATTTCAGAATAATTTGCACTCTAAAGATTAGTAGCATTGACATTTCACAAGTTTCACTAAAATTTAAGAATTAAGGGCAAGTGCCTATCTCCTGTGGCTAAGTCTTGATTGATGGTTGCCAGAAGAAAAGCACGTGGTTCAAATTCACCAGCTGCTCCATAGGAGAAAGATGGGCAATCTCCTTTTGGGTGATTAATCTGTCTCTGAAAACAAGCTGAGACAGCGATGAGTCCTCTTCAAATGAACAGTACACAACCACAATTCTAAATAATCAATTGCCACAGACTCATATTTTTTAGTTACAAGTAAGAATAAGTAACTATGTAAACAATTGTACTTCCCTTAATCTGCAAACTTTTGTCAAAAACTTGATAGATTATTAGAGGTCATGTTTTCCCCTTAAATGAAAAATAGGTATCACTATGTAAAACTGACCACTTTTGGTTTGCAAAAGCAGTTGTTCATTAAAAGGCAAAAGTGAATTTTTAATAGGAGCTTCAAAGCCACTTCCAAACAAGCTTATTGTTTTTTAAATCTCAATATATGGCATAATTTACGACTTATAATGTATTTTTCCTTAAATGTCCATCTTCAGATGTGATCTATTTAACAACTCCAACAACAATAATATTGTTACACAAAATAGTAGTTTGAGTCTCTATTTTTCTTTTCAGATAGATGCTATATGTTGGAGACAATGAGATTGGCTCAAGAAAGGGCAGGGTTGAGAGCTACTGTACACAGGGTTGCTAACTGTTGCAGGCAACTAGATGGCACATAACAAGATCAATAATTGTTATAATAGGTATTCTGATTGCCTGGTTGGTAAAGTGTGCTACCCACCTAAATGCAAGGATTTTGTAGTCATCAGATTCTCCACAGGAGAATGATAATTTCCTTTCATGGGATTTATAGCCTTTGAAACCCAATAGATGGTCACTTATATATCGATTCTAGTTCAACATCAATGACTGACTGTCATAACAAATTAATACACCTTTAGTGACTTGAAAAATGCAAACCAATAGGCAACATCATGTTGCTGTTGATGTTTTTATGTGTCATTGAGTCGCTGGTGACTCATAGCGACCCTATCTATGTACAGCAGCCCTATATTCTGCCCTATCCTGTGCCAATCTCACCATCTCTGACACACCTACCACCATTACCGCAGTCACTGAATCAATCCATCTCATCGAGGGTCTTCCTCTCCTGCACTGTCCCTACACCCTCCCAAGCATGACATCCCTCTCCAAGGATGGGTCCCTCCTTGCAACATGTCCCAAGTATGTCAGACGAAGCTTCAGAATCCTTGCCTCCAAGGAGCAGCCCGGCTTCACCCTCTCCAGGACAAACCTGTTTGTTTTCCTAGCAGTGCATGGCATATTTAATACTCTTCTCCAACACCACAGCTCAAAGGCATCAATTCTACTTCTATAATCTCTAGTCATTGTCCAGCACTCTGATGCATAGCAAGTGATTGCAAAGATCATGGCATGATCAGGCAGGCACACCTTAATCTTCAGACTGACATCTTTGCACTTCAGCACTTTAGAGAGGCCTCTAACTGCAGACTTTCTCATCACAATATGTCTTAATTTTCTGGCTGCTGGTGCCAAGAGTGTTGACAGTGGAGCCAAGCAAACCAAAACTGTGAACAATCTCAATCTCTTCACCATCCATTATGACGCTGCCAGTCAGCCCAGTGGTGAGAATCTTTGTTTTCTTGATATTGAAGACATACTGAAGATTGCAGTTCCTGCCCTTCCACAGCAAGTGCTTCAGGTCCTCCTCTGTTTCAGCAAGCAAGGTTGTGTCATCTGCCTAACACAGATTGCTGATTTTTCCTCCAATCCTGATTTCACATTTCTCCTCATAGAGCCCAGCCTCCCAGATAACCTGTTCTGCATAAAGATTGAAAATGTATGGAGACAGGATACAACCGTGGTGTACACGCTTCCCAATTTTGAACCATGCAGTGTTTCCTGGCTGTGTTCTGATGACTGCCTCCTGGTCAAAGTATAAGTTTCTCATTAGCAAATCAAGTGTTCTGGGATTTTCATTCTTCTCAGAGTCAGCCACAGTTTGTTATGATCCACACAGTCAAACACCTCTGTGTACTCGATGAAACAAAGATAGACATTCTTCTAGTACTCCTTGTTTCAGCCAAGATCCATCTAATATTAGCTAGAGTATCCCTAGTATCATGGCCGCGTCTAAACCTAGCCTTCACTTCTGATAGTTCTCTGCTGATGTGCTCTTCCAGTCGTTTTTGGATAATCTTCAGCAAAATCTTGCTTGCAGGAGATATTAATAATATTGTTCTATAATTTCCACACTCTGTGGGATCACCTCTGTTTGGAATGGGAACAAAAATAGATCTCTTCCAGTCAGTTGGTCAAATGGTTGTTCTCCAGATTTCTTGGCACATCTTGGTGAGCACATCCAGGGCAGCATCTGTTAGCTGAAATATGTCAATTAGTATACCATTACCATCAATTCCTGGGGCCTTATTCTTGGCCAATTCGTTCAAAGCAGTCTGAACTTCTTCTTTCATCACAATAGGCTCTTATTCACATTTTTCATTAAATTCTTCTGTGTCTTCCAATTCCTTTTGGTATAATGACTTTGT